CAGGTGGCATTCACACTGGCTCTGCAGCATTACAGAAAGATAAATTCACACGGGCAGCAAAAGTTTTTCAGCAGCCCAGGGCGTACAACTCACATGAAATTACACCAGTTGCTCTAAATGAAAACAGTCTGCCACAATACTTTCAACATGCGTTTTGTGCAGAATTTTAATTTTTTCATTCTCTGCAACTTTTTCCTATCCCTCATCTTTTTGAGGCAATTCACACATAAAAACAAAACATCCAGTGTATTTGAACACTTAGAAACTGCTGAAGAAAAAGCACATTTATGCTAGTGATATGTTTTATTCAGTACAGCCGATTAGTTGTAGTTTTTATTTGGGCGGTTATGGTTTAGTCACGTAGAATAAATTGCCATTTAAACGATTCTTTCCTTTAAAATCAGGACCTCTTTTTACCTGAGCCACATTTAGCGTTGTTGAAACTTTCTCTTGCTTGGCTTCAACCGTCCGGAAGCTGAAAGCTCTTTCCAATACAGACTGGTCTATACCCGTCAACTCGCAGATTTCCTTGAGTTCTAGCATGAAAAAGGAGAGCGTAAATATAATGAATCCTTTCGTATCATTGCTTTTTCTTCCCCAAAACTATTACCTTTTAAATAGTTCAGTATTTTCCCAAAACAGGTTTTCTTCAACAGAAGTGTCCCCCAGCCACACTCTCTCCCCCCTGCCCTGCCCAGCAAAGTTTTTAAAATATGCACAGCATGAGGAAACAGTTATTGGTTTTGAAAGCACTTTCTATCTGGTTATTTTTGTGAAGAAACTTTTCTTCCATTTATCACAGACTACTTTTCAAGATGAAAAACTTTCAAATGAAAATAAATGAACTTTCAAAATGTATCAACTGCAAAAACATGACCAAATGAATCTGACGTTAATAGACAGAGACTTTCTCCTACAAAAGAACAAAAAGCCTCCACTGCAGAATAACCAAGCAGTTACAGAAATGCACACCACCATTTAACATTTCAGAAGAAAGTGTTAATAAAGTGGAAAAAAAAAAAAATCATTTTTCAATTTCAAACAGAGCGATTGAAATTGCACAGAATTCAACCCGTATTTACCTGCAGGCAAGTTTTGGAAACAATCTAATTTAATTCATCTGTAAGGATATTGTATGTCTACAGAAACTACAAAATTAATAATGACTTCAGACAAATTAGTGTTTTTCCTCCCATCACTAATCTCATCTTACCATTTTTATCTTTGATTTTACTTTCATCTAGGCCATTCACACGAGATTCAGGCTTAAATTCAATATTTCCCAATTTCAGAACGGCTGCCACCACTTCAAAAACAGACTGTGTTTCATGATCCATAAAACCAACAATCTGCATTGCATTCTGGAAAGGGGAGAGATAAAATTATGAGATAAAAGAATCTACATTTAAACAGATCATACTTGCAAAATTCACCATTTATCTGTATTAGCATAAATTAGAAATGTTTTATGAACACTTTTGCTACAAAAAGAACATGATATAATTACTACGTTTAGATAAGTAAGTTTTTTAATATAAAAGACAGGTTAAAGAAGATCTGGCAATCGAGCTGGCATGTCAGTCCAGTCCACTTCCAGCATTCACTCAGTTTATGGTTTTCTAAAATGCAGTACTTTTTTTTTTTCTAGCCACTTAATTTAGTTTATAACATGACCCAATTTTTCACAGTCAAATGAACAGGTACTGCTGTCTTCTCAGTCCACTCTGTTGCTCTAAAAGCCAGTAACGTTTAGAACCTAAATTTGCATACGCTGGGTAACAGGGTCCTGTATTCTTCTTGTCCCTGAGTACAATCAAGCAAAAGCATCACTGTAAGTCATCTTGAGAACCACCCCAGCCCTGTTTTTCTTTCGACTTAGTCAGCATCACCTGGTTCATGAAGCTCAGTCACTGCCATCATAAGCAACTACACAATATAATCTTTTCCATGATCTGATAAAGGGGTCTGGGCTTTCCCCGCCCCCCCTTCCTTTTTTTTCTTTTTTTTTTCTCTCTCCGTTTTTTTGGTCTTTTTTGTATTCCCACTAGAATACTCCAGAAACTCTGCTCTTTGTGTTTTCTAGTTGTAGCTAAGCTTCCCTATGCAAACACGCTATACCCTTGCATGAAGAGTGCTAGCACTCAGAAAAGATGGCCCTCCCAGCCCAGCGCGAACGGCCAGACCGAGGGCGTAAGAACTCTGCATTTGTGTTGAGCCCTTTGGGGTTTACATCCGACCCCTGTTACTTCTCACCCTAACTGTTCTGAAGTTTGCAGCATCATCCACTCCATTCACTTTGGCAGAATCAAGGCCCAGGTAGTTGTATCTGCTGAAGTCCCGCTCCAGTTTGAGTTTGCCTAACAAATCAAATAAAAATATCATTAGTAACAGCATTCTTGTTAGTAGCTCTTTTATCCCAGAACCAGTATTGTCAAGAACTGTTGTTATTATTAGTAGGATTAAGTTTTCTTTAAGGATCTTTTAACTACAAGCCTTCTGAATAAGAACAGGCTTTCTTCTTTGTTTATAATAAATTGCAAAGCCAATTCTGACTCAGATATCTGGATAATACCAAACCATATATTTACTTCAGGTATTACTATTGCCACTACCACCAATAATTTGAAAAATGAATCAATACCACATTTCCCACAAAAGCAGATGCGCATGGAACAGCACATTAAATATAAAGGCGACTCATATCTGAAAATGGCACAAGGGCAACACTTACAGAGGAAGTCTTCCGATGCACCAGACAATATCTGATAGAAAATGTGAAAGTTTCTTTCACCTCTTGGCTGCTTAACAACACGAGACTTCTCTAGCAGATCTAAACAAACAAACAAAATCTTACAGGTCAGGGAAAGATTGTTGGAGCAAACCCCCTTAATATGAATATAATCCCCCATCGTTTTCTACTTCATTGCTTTGTATCATCATCAGCAAATTAGAAGATGATAAATGGTAGGCACAAACTTTATCACTATGTATCACATTAGTACATATTTCTCAAATAAGTTATTTGAGCAAGCGGTAAGCCCAGTACACTTCTAAATGCTGCAGTCTATGAGCGGCAAAGAAAACTCGGGTCAGGGAGGCAATGTGCTCAAAAGACGTCAACCGATTTACAGTACCACCACAAAATTAAGATTTGTTGAGAATGATTGCATGGGTGAAGGTTTGAAAAGAACTGAAATGTCAACAGGCTAAGCACATGCAAGATGGATAAATGAAAGGGGGAAGCCAAATAAAGAAAGAATTTAAACTGAATAATCAGGTAGTACTTTGTGATCCTCAGGTGCATCAGACTATGAAATAATTCCCAATGGGACTGACAGAAGCTCCATCATAAGACACTTAAAGTGAAATGGAAAAGCAGCACTTTGAAAAGCATCACTGCACTGATTGAGTGGTTTGACAAGGAGATTGCTTCATCCACCACCGTTAGTGACGGGCACATTTCTAAGCCTTACCAATATGGGTAGGAATCCAGGCACACAGCAGAAGCGGACTGACTTGTAACACATTGCAAACACTTCAGACTCTACATCATATCTACCATGAAAGTGACAATACAAAGGTTGTTCAGCCCTTACTGCACTGAAAGGCTGTGGTCCTCAGTGCACTGGGAGAAGGGAGAGAGATGCGATAAGAGAACCTCTGGACAGGTATCGGTGTCACTCACTGTTTTTGTACAAGAAAAATGTTTTTCCTTCTTTTCTCACTGGCACACAAGGGCTCCACACCATTTTTCCAGATAGCAAACCCACAGTTCCCAGTATACAGTTTCTCTTAAGCTACATATATTCAGCAACATGAAGATAGAGACATTCAGTGCCTCATTCCAAGTGCACAGCAAAGGAGTTTCCCCATGCACCTACCACTACGTACCCACCATAGCGCTCTCTGACTGGGGTTAAGTTCTCTGGAAGCTGTGCCCATGCAAGAAGAAAGCCCCAAAAGGGAAATTACCACAGCTTGGATGTCACTCTTAAGAAGAGCTGTCACAAAGCTGAGATGAGATTTCGCAAAGGTAAAACACAGGGAACACCAATTCATGTAAGGACACGTGGGGTTTCTAAACACTTCCCCTGCCTGGCTACTATAATATCTGATGTGTGTTCCACTATACCTTTCCTCAGACTTCCATTTCTGCTGAAACTGAGCCTGTTTAGTCTTAGCAATCCAGAAAGTTAGAGGCGGTGCTCAGTGCAGCCACCTTTGTGCTGCAAACCCCCCTCCAGTCCCACCACGGAGGAGCAGCTGGGGAGCGGATGCCTCCGCGCGGGGCTGCAGCCTCTGGGCTCCGCCGGCTTTCTGGCACGCCAGGACTTAGCCCAAGAGGGAGCATCTGCCCTGGAGTTCGCTCCGTGAATGGAGGAGCAAGGAGGCGTGCAATAGAGCGTATTCATATTGTCACTAGCTACAGGCAGCATGTTGTGCCTGTGTTGCCCACTGTAATTACCTAAGCTTACACCCTTTCTCGTGGAATAGGAACCAAAGACCAAACTTTGACCCACAAAATTATACAAGCCTTAGGAGGCCCTCCTCCAAATAAACTACAGCAAGACAGATTCAAAAACTAATTTCTGCTCTAATAATTAGCCAGTGACAACAATGACAAAATTCAGACAGTATTATTAATCTTCAGGTTGGCTTATAGTAGGACAAGTTTCAAATATTTTACAGACCAGCTGAACTATGTTATTCCATAAACATGCAATTGCTTGAGAGAAGTGGTGCAACCACCATAGTAGTAGGTGACAGTGAATGTAGCTCCCAACGACCAGAGCATCTGACTGTATGAAGACAAGTACCTCTTCACCGTCGAATGCGTTGTGTGATCACGTCAGAACTTTAGCCTTGTTTGAAAAGACATTTGTGGTGTTGTAATTCAATAACCCTACAGTCTCCTTCCTTCCAAAGGTGGCCCTGTTTCAGCACCTGGAAGTTTTGCACATCTTGATGACAAAGTACACCCAAGATACACGCAAATAAGTGGCTGTCCCATATTGCCAGCAGCTCATCTTTACATTAGGATGGGGCAGGTTACAGATTTCCACTTTTGCTTTTTCCATTCTGTTGGCCTTTTTTTTTTTTTTTTTTTTTAATCACAGATGACTAACATCTGATGGTTGATGCTATGTTGGAAAGACATAGATCAGGAGGTGTAGTTCTCACCAGCAGCCTAGTGTACAACCTCAATACCTCTGACTTCACCTAAGGTTGGGGCTCCTCTCCTTCAGCTGTGGTTCATCCTAACTATCCAGTTAGTTAGCCTAACTATCGGATATCTGATCCTCTCTAGTTTTTAATTCATAACTGAAAGCAAGAGGCTGGTCCACCGTCCAAGTGTTAATACTTGGGCTGAGAAAGGCAAGGTGAGCGCCAGGCAGTTCAGAGTCATGCTGGCTGTGAAGGTTCTCCAGTGAAGTGTTGGAATGGATCGCAGCCAAATTTAATCTCAGAGAAATAAACAGCTCCCGCGGTGGCTACACACACTTCAGGAAACGGCTGTATTTTCAAAGGATGTTGAAGCAATGCAGTTTGTGAAGCAGTTTGGCTTATTTGGGTTTAAAAACATTCTATATATAAATTTACTCAAATGCTGTCATAAAAGCTCAGCTACATATCCTGGCAAAATATTATATGTAAGCCGCCTTCTAATTACATGCATGCCTTCAGCAGATTTAACAGTTTCTTGAGCGTATGTCAAATGAATTATGTTAGAAGGATAACTGTCTCAGATTTTTCACTGCAGTTTATCTTATTTATATGTTTTTAGAAGCAAGGAGGTTAACTAATTTACAGTCAGCTTTCCAAAGTCCCAATATTCCATATTCTGTCAGCCTTCATAATTGAGGAAAAAGGCTCCAGAATGCAGTTACTGACAGAAAATCAGGTATTTACCTTAACAAAGCAGCTGTTACAAATTCTTTTTAAAGCTGTATTCATTCTCTGTTTTTTTTTTTTTCTTTTATGCCCACATGCAGACTGAAATCAGACTGGTAGAAAATATCCAGACTATCTGCCCTACTCTTAAGAAAGCTTCTTCCCTTTGTTTGCCCTAACTAGCATTTTAATAAATCAACCAAATATATTTTCCTTAAAGCAACTACTGCATAACAAGTAACTTTTGTGTTAACTCTCACATGATTACAAATTCTGTGGATTGAACAGTCAAAAGAGAAGACACAAAGATGCACATCAGATTTCTGCACGCATCCACTTGGTAATTCCGTTTACAGTGGCACGTGTAGACAGATGGTGCTTATCTATATGAAAACACACACAAGCAAAAACCCCAAAACTGTATAGATAATATATTTTGTTATATATTCTATATAAATTATGTATAGGGACTATACAGAATTATCTAGAGAGAACATGCAGAACTACATATGGTGTATTTACGGATTAGGTGTTCTTCCTGCACTATCTCACACTGCTTCTGCTTGAACTGAAACATTTAATATGTTGTGTGTATCAAAGCAACTGTAAAAATCAAATTGCTTTGGAAAGGTCCAACCTGGAAACACTTCTTAAATCATATTGTTTGAATATCCATCGATTCAGATGACTCAATCCAGCTACATCCCTCAGGTTCTGAAGATTATTTGTTATTCCTAGATAACACTGGTTTAAACGCAAGACATCTGTGTAAGCATCCTGTTAAACCATTCAACTGAACTCAACATAAAAGAAAAACAGAAATCAGTGCTGAATACCTCTGGAAACTCTAGTGTAGAAATTTACATGATTTCTTTTCAGTTACTTGACCCATGAACTTGACTGATGCAGAAAAATTTAGGATATTTGTATTTTCCTAAATATACTAGAAATTGAATCAACATTCAAGAAAGGAATAAGTAAACACTACAAACCAAAAATGACACTACCTTGGTACATTCTGAATAATCCAGAAAAAGTTTGTTTTAGCCATATTCTCTTCAGCTGGCCATGACCAAGGACCTTTTTAGCTATTCAGCCAAAGTTACAGAACATCTTCTAGTCACTGAAGCTTATCTCTACACCCACATTATGTTAAATTATATTTTCTGTTTTCCTACCTTGATTCTTCAGCTGTCATCAAAAAAAGTCACTGATTAAAAAGAAAATACAGTAGTGGTTTCTCAGGAACTTTTTCACATTATTCCCACCAAGTTTATAATAATGTTCTCTGGAATTAAATGATCCATAATTGTATCAAACAAAACCTACTATCTGGGCAGTATGTGCAGTGAAAAAATGACGATTGCACAATTTTAGGAGTCTTAAATCCTGATTACGCCAGTAATAAGTGATGTTTAAAAATGAGCTAATCAAAATGTTTAGTGTTGTTTGTAGTTGTTTTGTGGTTTTTTTTTTCAAACGCTTCCTAATTTAGGCAAGACAATTACCTAAAAGGCAGCAACTGTGCTAACTGAAACACCAAGGGAGATGCTGGAACAAGTTAAGATTAAAAAAAATCAACAAGAATGAGTACCTCTTTCCAAAATGTCTAGTTGTAAAATTCGTGTCATATTTCCCTGAGCAAAGGAGATTACTAACAGCAATCACATAACTAAAATCAACAGCCCGAGTTGTTGGTTTCTCAGTAAGTGGGTAATTACTTTTGTCTTTTAAAATGAACAAACAAGTTGTAAAGAAGAATAAGTTGTAAAGTTATCACTATTACTTTGCTAACTTCAAAAAGTTGTTGCTTTAGATAAACATCATTGGTTTCTTTCATGTTGTTGGAAAAATGGCAAAACAGGGCCCTTTCTTAATCACTTGTTATTTGGACTTTAAGTACACTGTGCTGGTTAAAAATGGCTTTTCAAAAGTACGCATTACGTATACCGTACTTTTGGTACGATATACGTAATATTATCTTCTAGTTAATCATTAAATCACTGAAGGGCTTAGGCAGATCAGGAAAGATCACCTAAAGCTAAAAAGCTAGGTAT